GCCGACGTCACCGGGTTCCCCCCTCGTCGGGCTCGCCTCTGTTTGGTTCCTGCGCAGTCGTGCACGAGCAGAGCAGCAGCTGCGACGCACAACCAGAGAGAGAAGAAGAGAAGGAGGAAGAAGAAGAAGAAGAGGAGGAAGAAGAAGAGGAAGAAGAAGAAGAGGAGGAAGAAGAAGAAGAAGAGTCTCAGGTACGTCCAGCCGCTTCACTCACGTGTCATTAAACAGACGTGTTCAGTGTGTTGTCTCTGGCGGAGGGATACTCCCCCTCTTCTGCTCGTGACGCTTCCTGCTCGGCTCGTGCACAGCTGATTCCTGTTCCCGGTCGGATACACCTCGGTCACGCTCCTTGTCCTCCTTTCCCTCCTCTTCCTCCTCCTTTCCCCCCTCTTCCTCCTCCTCCTCCTCTTCCTCCTCGGTGCAACAGGAAGCGTCATCCTGCTGCTGTTTTTTTTCCAGAGCTGCTTCCTGCGTGCGCGAGACCCCGTGGCACGTGTCTTCCATTGATAATCGTCGCACTTTCGCGCGCGGACCACTAGTGGGCGTGCAGAGAATAGTTACAATACATGGAGTCGGTACGCTGCCTAGCAACGATAGGAAACTGCCTAACACTGTAAATGTTTACGGGATTTTTTAGGGTCCTGTTGAAAAGGTTTAGATTCTGTCGCTGCTCGATGAAGTGGACCAGCGCCGCCATAATCAGCAGGAACTCCTCGTTCACCTCCGGGTCACCACTCCTCCAGAATACCTCAGATTCGTCCACACTTTTCCAGACATAAGCTCCGGAGGATGTCCACAGAGTTAGCTCAGGACGTTCTCTGCAGTTTCACACATGAACGATGCATCGCTCAGACGTGTTGACAAACACTTGTGTGTTCAGGCGAGGGGCGGGGCAGCAGGAAGAGGCGGGACGTAACGAGATCAGGTGTTTTGATGTGGATTTGAAGTTCTGTAATCCCTCCGCTCATTTCCGACACACCCTTGTTCAGACGACACCACGCGATTATAAACCTGCCTCTAGAGTAACGAGTTCAAGCCTCTGTGAGAGTCAGAGCACCCGTTTACATCCGACTGAGGCAAACCCAGACCTCCTCCATGTTCACAGATGGGACATGGAATCGTCAAATACATTTTCGCTACTACTCTGCAGACTCAGGCTCAGCTAATTTTTGGCTAACAACCAAAGTCAGTGGAGATGTGTCGTCCATCTTTATTTACACTACATGTTTCAGCATGATTTATCTAATAATGGTTTGGTCCATGTCCCATCTGCTTACATGGAGGAATTAGTTTACAATGCAGCCAGCCACCAGGGGGCGATCAAATGATTTGGCTTCACTTGGCACCCGTCACATCGTCCATCTATTTACTGACATGTTCACGTCAGCGTCCAAAGTGAACCTTTATTTTCTTGCTGTCAGTAACTGAGAAACTAAAAGCCCCAGGTCTTATGCCCCTCCCCCATCCTGTTTTCTCCTAATGAAACCTGACCGATGTCCGACCGATGATAATTAAGACGGGCGAGGGGGAATCGAGCGACCAGCAGCGAGTCCACAGCCCCGGTGAGAAGAGCATTAAAACCCTCCAGTGGTGAACGAGCTGCTCCACGTTTCATGTTCTCTGAAGACGGAGTGAAGCGCTGCAGGTTTTTTCTGTGTCCAGGAGTCGAGCTCTGACAACAGATTTATTTCTTCTGTTGTGAACGTTGCCTGTGGTGAGAAGATATTATCTGTCGGTGCAGAACCCCCCTCCCCCCAGTTCACCTGGTTTATCTCCCATCAGCCACTTCTGCTTGTCACATCGATTGTTGCGTCTGATGTGAGGTTGTGCAGGTCATCTCTGGCACTGAGCTGCAGCTCTGGACTCAAGCTGAACTTTAAACGTACGTAAGATATAAAGACAAATATCTGTTTGTCTGTCTGTGGCTCACGTATCTCAAGAAATTAGAAAACTCTCCTGTTTTTTATCAGTGTTCATTGAAAGGAAACTACAGCAGTGGTTGGATACTAGCAGACCACAGACAATAATATCCTTTCCATGATTCTGAAACACCATGGCAACGTTTCATTAATTCATTAACGGTGTGTTCTTGAAAACCTCAATGGCACAAAAACCACGACTGATTCTCCAGTTCTGTGTTCAGCTGACTGAGTCTCTGCCACCAGCTTTACCACACACCAAGCAAACCGGCTCCTGTATAATAAATGATCGTAGATTACTTGGCTTGGTGCTGGAGCTTCCCACTTTCAGTCCACACAATGAAAATGTCCCTTTATTATCGCCTCAGTCTCACAAAGCTGTCACAGTCACACAGCAGTAGTTCCCGTTGTAGTGGTGAAGCTGATAAAAGTTATGATTGCCTCTATTATTAGCACCTGTAATCAGGTGACACCTCTTTCTGATAAGTCTTGTTTGGTTTTACTGTAACTCGGAACAACGCAGGTCACCCAAGGGTTCCTGAAGCTCGAGCACTGGACCCTGTAAAGGTCTGACCCACGACGTTTGTCCCACTGTGGTGGGGACAGGGACATTACCGGGAACAGGTTTAGGACAGTGTTGCAAAACAACATTTACCCAACGGATAATCCTGGTTAACTGTAGTCTCCTTTGTTTGTTGGGTGGTTAGTTAGTCAGCAGGTTTACGCAACGACACCTGAACAGATTCCCGCTTGGTGGACGAATGGGGCGTGGCCCAGAAGGAACTCAAGATTGTGCAAAAACAACTGGATTTCCATGAAACAAAATGATCAAGAGAGAACCCGTTACATTTTGGTGCAACTAGATTCCACGTGACACCAACTAAAGAGTGGAAGAGGAAGAGGAGTTCTCGCGTGACAGAGAACTGCATTAAATGCAATTTGTGGGTCTGACTGTCTGTGTGGGCGGTAACAACTTTACGGACGCTCGTGCGAGAGATAAGACAAATGCTGCTGCACACACGATGAAGCAGGAGAGCAAATCCCAAGTTAGAGGTTTCTCATGTTAATGTGAGACGAGTGCGAGTTTCTTCGGTTCCTCGTGAACATGTCGGCCGGCAGAGTCTCGATAATGAAAGGGAAACGCTGCACGATGAGATAGAGCCTTCTCCTCGGCTGAGTCACAGCCAAGTTTAATTGTGGCTTGGATGCTGGATTTTTTAATCTTTAGTTTTTTGACATCTTCTCCAACGTCTCGGAGAACAATATAAAAACAGTCATATGAAGTCGACCGATATCTACGAGTAGGTGTAACAGGCCGAGCAGGCGGACCTTGAAAGCACCTTGTCCCCATGCTGAGTTGATGTTCTACAGAAGGAAAGTTAATTTATTGCCTTGAATTTACCGCATGAAGCTCATAAAGCTGCGGCCGACAGAGACTGATGAGGTGTGGAACAGCTCGAGTGCTGAGCGCAGCAGCGTCTCGCTCATATCTCGCTCCGCTGATGTTTTTGTGGACGAGTGTGCTGAAAACATTTCCTGCAGGGGGCGGGGCCTGGGGGCACGTTGCATAACAAGGGTGTCGGGATCTGACTCAATCTCGGGGCCCATCAGCCTTTGGTTGAAGGTGAATGTGCCTTCGGGGGCAACAGCCAACGTTTGGGGTCTTCCACTGCAGACGGCAGATATCTAATAAGAGAAAATAAGTGTGTGTGTGTGTGTGTGTGTGTGTCACCTGGGGTCTCACTGTCTAAATGCTGCTTTATATAACCTCGTCATCTTTAGAGCTGCAGCCCAAACACAGGCCCAAGGGCTCCTAGACTTGGCCGTGTGTGTGTGTGTGTGTGTGTGTGTGTGTGTGTGTGTCCTGTGATAGTGGAGCTAAAGCAGATTAGCTCAAGGACGTGAGTGTGTGTGTGTGAAGGACGACCAGCCCTCAGAGACTGCGAGGCCGGGGTGGGAAACCCTGTGTGGGAGTCAGCAGAATATTGGTGCTATGACAGTTGTGTGGTTCACATCAGTTGTTGAACGCAGCTCTGTCGTTGTTACACAATAGAAGCTCACCAGACAGATTCTGCTTGTTTGAACAGATCAGGCGTTTCTAGTTTCCTGTCTTTGTGGTTTTTAATCAGTGATTTCAGCTTCCTCTGATTTTCATGATTACGAGTCAATTTAAGTTTATTTGAAAAGCACTTTTAAAACCAGACGGTCAGACCTCCACCACGGCCCGACCCCCCCCCCCCCATGAAACAACAATTCATATAAAGATTTTTACATTTGTTTCATGGAGATCCATGAATTATTCTCTATGATAATGTTGAAAAAGGTCATGAGTCAGATTCTTCCCTGGCCTGCACCACATCCTTCCACCAGGTTTCGTGCAGTAGTTTTTTCCTCCTCCTGCTAAAAGACCTGATGAAAAGAAAAACAACAGCTCGACCCCTCCACTAGATTTCATGGGAACTGTTTGAGTAGGTTTTAATGCTGTTAACTAATAAACAGATAAACACAGATGATAACATGGTCTCCTTGATGATGGCAATAACCAGAGTCACCAAAGTAATGAACAATAAAAACATGAATAAAATGAAATTCCAGATCTAAAATTCGGATATGAACATCCTGGATTAGTCGACTCCGTCCGATCATCGACCAGCAGACGTACGATCTCTCTCACATTAACGAGGGTCGGAAATAAATCTGTCGGCTCGACGACTTCTTTTACTAAAATGCCGTAGTCGTGAATCCCCTTGTTGAAGAGAAATCTTTTTATTTAAAGGTCCAGTGTGTAAGATTCAGGTGAAAGGGAACTAGTGGCAGAAAGTTAATGTCGAATAATCCTCATGATGTTTTCACGAGTTCATTTCATCCAAATTGTTTGAATTGTAGTTTTCTTTACCCCAGAAAAGGTACTTTATATTTAAATACTTTATATTTAAGTATTTTATATTTAAATACTTTATATTGAAAAACTTTATATTTACACCTGGGAGGCCGCCATGTTTTTTACATTGGCCCAGACTGAACAAACTAAACGTCTTTTGAGTTTTTATGACACCTCATGAGGTGTTCAGCTGCAACATGACACTTCACCACTAGATGTCACTAAATTCTACACGCTGTACCTTTAATGTGATTTTCTCTTTGTCCATAGATGTGCTGGCTTTGTGAGTTGACTTGATGACAGCGCCCTCAGGAGGTGGGAGGAGCGTCTGCAGAACCAAATCTCAGTTGAAACGTCCGGCTTGTGACCACGCTCATGTTCCTGCGGAGCGCCGAGTAGCTCTGTATCAAACACCAGTGTAGAGCTCGGAGCAGGGTCTGGTTTCCAGTATGGAGGGCGTAGCCGTGCAGAACCTGATAGACTTCGACCTTCCCTCCGAGGCCACAGCTCTGAGCGTAGATGGAGGCAGACACGAAGGACACACAGACATTTTCTCCCCAGAGCCGGTGTCTTCCACCGGAATCCATCAGCAGCCATTACTGCCAGAACCCATGGCACCAACCAGGTCTCTCCACCACCACCACCACCACCACCACCAAGAGGAAGGAGACAGCGACGCCACAGAGTCGGCAGACAGCGAGAACGACATGGACCTGCCCTCGCTGAGGAGGTCGTCGTCGTCTTCTGCTCACAGTCGGGAGGACGCCGACGCCGAGACGCTGGAGGGGAGGCAGTTCATGAAGGCTTATGTGGAGAAGGTGTTTCACGGAAAGTAAGGAGGAGCTGGTTTTTAGATTCTGTAGAGTCAAACCAAAGAGGGAATTTAAATTCTACCTCTTGATTTGTATCTTTATCCACCAGCTGCTGATCTGGTTTCATTGATGTTCATTAATTAATTACATTAATTCAAGGAAACTGCACGTGTGAAAAAAGTTTGATAAGAAATTTACCAAACCTCCGAGGCCCAACAGTTTCCTTACAATCTGCACCAAATTATACTAACTCTTAGAAACCAGAATTAAATTTCTCAGACCCAAACCAGCAAACCTGCAAACAAACACCAACAAAACCATGAAGCAACATTGGTCTTCATTTAGAGTCTGTGTCCAGCTGATGAATCTAAATCCAATATTTCCTTATTAACTCTAGTTTTGGCCTCTACCTCCGATATCTGACTCTTTAATGTCTACATTGACTTTTTTTAGTTTGGCTAAAAGGAGCTGTCTTTGTCCTTCATCTTTATTTTCAGTCTATGTTTCCATCACTGGTTCATCCCTCGATTCATGTCGTCACTCTCTCCATCTTCCACCAGTTTTCTTTTCAATCCCACAAGTTGTATTATTTGTTTTGTCATCAACGTTTCCTTCTTCTCCTGCTTTAAGCTGCGTCTCCACTTCTGTTCAGATCAACTTTGATTTCTGCTCCAAAAAAAAACGATCAGTAAAGTTCAGCCGGTCACAGATTCCCCCGATTCACTAGCCCAGGCCCTCGGGGGTGCAGCCGTCTGAGCGGCTTGTGAATAATTTAACTGAGGAAACAATGTCAGTTGGGTGAAATGTTGAAAGGGCATTTCTAAATATCAGAGTATCTTATTTTCCATAAATGATAAACTCCAGGATGCGAATTATATATATTTTTTTGTTCGGACTCAAAGTTCCCTTCTGTCCGATTCAGAAATTTCCCAGCAGTAAAATAAATCTGATAAATGATGATGAGGAAAACACCGGATCCGTAAACTGCTGCTGAACTGAGTTTGTTTCCTCAGGGACGAATTCGACCAGGAGGAGAAGGCTCGATTTGGGGAACTGTGCAGCGGAGAGACGAGCAAAGGCCGAGAGTGGTTCGCTAAATACGTCAGCGCACAGGTGAGTGTGGGGGAGGGGTGGAACGTTTAACGTTCATCCAACATTCATCAGAACCTTTCACTTCAAACTGTGAATTTTCAAATCCTTCATGTCTGTAAAATCTACACAAGCTCAGCTGAAGGTTTATCAACAAACCATATTTAATACATATTAAATACTTCTTAAATACATATTAAACACATATTAAATACTTGTTAAATATTCCCTTAGTTTCTTCATTGCACAAAACAAAACTTGATGATTGTGATTCGGGCAGAAGACCGAGGTTTTGACTTTCTGCTGAGAAACATTGGTGTTCTAAATATTATAGTTTTGATATCATTGGATTCAAACAGGATCAGTTCTGCGTGTTTGGTGGTAAAGTAGAAACAATATCCCAAATGCATTGGTTCAGAATAACAGGTTGTTCAGATTCCCCAGTTTCAGCTTCTGCTTCATTACGTAGTTTTTACAGAATGAATTGTAATTCAGAAAAAGATCTGCGACGGTTACCAGACACTTGTCTTCACAAAGTCACCTTCAGTAAATAAAAATATACAAAATCATTTGTAAATGTGTTAAAAATGTGAAACCAGAAAAGTTTGACTTTCAGACTTTGTAACGTGGTCTCTGTCGCTCTGTGGTTTCCAGCGCTGCCATTCCAAGTGTGTGAGTGAAGCCACCTTCTACAGGCTGGTGCAGTCGTTTGCAGTCGTTCTGTTTGAGTGAGTCCACACGAAACGTCCCGCTCGTTTTAAACATGTCTGATCCTCTTTGACTGTAAACAAGAGAATCTACACATTTATTATTATCCCATGAAACATTAAAGGCCTCAGGACTTTTCTTCATGTTGTGTAATGAGATGTTGTGTTGACAGATGTTACCAGATGGACGACTACAGTCCAGCTAAAAACCTCATGACCATGTGCTTCACATACTACTACATAGGTAAGGTCTGATCCCTGAACCCTCCGTGTCTGTCGAGTTTTACATCAACACAACGTGGCCTCGCTGCAGCTCTAACCAGTCGAGCATGTGCCGATGACTCTCGCTCCTCGGTGCTGATTCAGAGAATCGTTTTTCTTCTTCCTCCGCTTCAGCCAGGAGATATTTAATCAAATGTCATTGTCGTGCAGGAGAAAACATAAATGAGTCTATTCGCCGTTTGGTACCTTGTGAGGAGGAAGTTAAGAATCCATTGAGTCTCTGCATTTTTAATACGACAAAGTTTATATACACGTCACTGGTGACTGGGCGACTTCTCTGACACGCCCACCAAAAGAAAAGGCCGAGGCAGTGAGAGAGAATCTGAATAAATGAGTCATTAAGATGCGTCTTTACAGTGAACTCTGCTCTTGTGTCTTTCAGGGAAGTCTCAGCCGTCTCCGTCGGAGCTGCTGGACCGCGGCGGTCCTCCCGCTCCTCTGGACTTGTACTTCAACAAGGCCAACTCGTGGCTGACGGGGAAAAAGGACGCAGCCGAGCGCCTCCTTAAAAACACGTCCAAGTCTGATGTCAAAGGTTTCTTCGGAGGCCTGGAGAGCAAACTGAGGAGCTCGATGGCTCCAAAGACTGAGTGAGCAAACCGTCTGAGTCTGTCGGATCATTTTCATCAGAAACATAATAAACGTTCTCACTTCTTTTTTCTCTCTTTTCTTCTTCTTCTTCCTCGTTCTTCTGTCCAGAGACGAGGAAAACCCTTCGGAGACGAAGCCCAAATCACCAGGTAGAGTTCGTTTATTCCAGAGCAGAGCATTCAGAAATAATCCGAGTGGTGTGAGAGCCTGAAGTCTTCTCTTCTCCTCAGTGTCTGAAGGTCCAGAGGAGAAGAGAGGGGAGAAGGTTTATCTGTACGGTCACCTGAAGCAGCAGCCCATCTGGTAAGTGGACGAAACTGAGGATCCACCAGGTTTGTGTTATTGCTGCAGCTCCTCTATTCAGCCTCTGTCGCCAACACTTACTTTAAGTCTGTTGTCTCTGCTCAGGCACACGCTGAGATTCTGGAACGCTGCATTCTTTGACGCGGTTCATTGTGAGAGGAAGAAGAGATCTCCGACCACCAGGTGAGATGAACCAGCAACTCTTCACAGACATGATGTTCAATAACGTGTGTGAAGTGACTGAGGTGAACATGAAGGATGAAGATCCTCTGAGGATCCTCCTCCTCTTCTTCCTCTTCTTTATCCCTCCCTTCTTCTCCTCCTCTTCTTCACTTCATCTTCTATTTTCTTACTATCTCTGTCTCTTATTCACCTCCTCTGACTTTATTCTTTTCTTCTTCTTTTCTATTATTCTCATTTTTATTCCTCCTATTTTCCTTTCTCCTCTTCTTTGCCTCCCACTTTCTCCCCCTCTTCTTCTTTTCTTCTCTTCTTCTTCACCTCTCCTTGTGTCTCTTATCTTCTCTCCTTCTTCCTCTCTTTCTCTTGTTGTTGTTCTCCCTCTGTCTGGATGTTGACTTTGTCCTCTTGTGCCTTGCTGCCGGGCAGGGGAACGCAGGATGAAGAGAAAGACGAGAGGTCTGTCATTCTATTTGTCCGCTGCCCCTAAAAAGAAGAAGAGAAAGAATGAAATAGTCAAACTAAGAGAACAAAGTAAAGATGAAGGCGGAGACGCTGCAGTTTGTGGACAGAGATTTGGTTTTAGTTAATATTAGATTTTCTGATGAGGAAGATATTTAGTGACACGTTAGAACATTTTTATGAGTTTAGCTTTTTCTCTTTTTGGTCGTTCTCTGACTCTGGAGCTCGTTAACAAGCCGCCAGACACAACTCCAGAAGACCCATGAATTATTCTCTGAAAAATCTGTAAAGAAGAAAAAGATTTTTTTAAGAAACAAGGATTTAAACCAAAGTTACATTTTAAAAGTTAAAGTTGAGTTCCTTCCTGTGTTACAAATAAAGCGGCGCTGCACTTCTACTGTCGAACACATACTGAATAAAACCCGACTGGTGACGGGAGAGAATCCTGATCTCACATCGAAAAAGCAAGAAACTCTGGATCTCATTTTTGCCAGAATGGTGCGACACGTTCTCTCCATCAGAGTAAAAGCAGAGTGAAGGTGTAGAAAAGGGTTTTCACTGGTGCTCAGCTCTGTGAAGTGTGAGGCCGAATGTCGGAGAGTCTCCAGTGAACAGAGACGTTTGTTGATGAATCATAAACTGGACGTGGTTCCGCTCAGTGTGATCGCTGGATTTCTCTGTGTTTGTGTGGTGTTGTGAAGTGTTGGTCCGCTCCTGCTTGTGTCGGCATGTCGCTGTGGTTGTCTGGCAGACGATGAGATTCACAGAGTTAATGTGGAAGTGATTTTGGTTCCTGGCGATGGAGGCGTCACACACCCACAGTTAATATCCTGAACGTCGGTGGTATTAATATCTGCAGCAGCAGTTTCTGTCTCTCCACAGCTCACTGCATGTTTCACACCATTAATCCTCCTGCACGTGTTGGTGTTTCTGCACGTTCCCTCCACCGCCTCTGTCTCCGCACACGCTTCCACTGACTGGAGGTGTTCGGTGGGTTGTATATTGGTGAGGTTACACATCCAGAAGATATAGAGCAACGCTAGAGTTCATTTAGAGTCGTGTTTGTTTCCACGTGATGAATCTATCGTGTCCGATATTTTTACCTCTTGTGTTGGTCTCCACCAGCTCCTGAGACAAATGTCTGGCTCTTAATCTGCTAAACTCATCACCAGTCAGTCGTTAACTTTGTTTACTGGGCAGGTCGCAGCTTTATGGCCCAAAAGTCTCCGTATGAAGCCACATTTAAATTCATTAGATTCTTTTCTCTGTTGAAAAACTGTCGTCTCTCACAAAGAAAGAATAAAATCCTGATCAGACTCCAGAATGTAATGTGCTCTTCCCTGACCCACATTCACATGGAGGAGGCAGGGTGCAGGACCTGTACTGCAGCCAGCCTCCAGGGGGCGATTGACTGGTTCTGGCTTCACTTTTAGGAGCCGTCATGTCGTCCATCTTTTGTTTGATAAACTCTGACTTGTCGTCCTTATGGTTTTTTTTTATATGAATCAAAATTTTGGTGAATTGACGTATTTGTTCATTTCATAAAAGATTTAGATTTAAACATCAATTATGTGATAATTGAAAAATAAACGTCGTAACATAGAATATAAGAGAACCAGAATATCGTCTTTTGGCTCGTTGCGGTGAGTTCAGGTGTAAAAAACATTTTTGACATGAACGCACGGCGTGAATCACTGCTTCTCATCTGCTTGTTAACAATAATTTGTGAATGAGTCATTTCTTATTTTTTGCTGATGGCCGGCCGATGTGTTTTTGCCCTTTTTGAATATCGTTCTATGTGTTTTATTTGTGATGGAATCTCATTGCATCTAATCACAACATGGAACAGTCACAGGGATGGATGTCACGATGTCACGATGTTCTTCAGGCAGATTATCTCCAGCAGTTTGTCGTTTGACCTCAGAACGACGACACACCAGAGAAAAGTTAACGAATTTTAAAGTTGCGTGTGGAATCAGATGTTTTTAGTGACACCCAGCCCTGACCTGTTCTCTGTGGAGACGCTGAAGGTCGAGACTCCGGAATAACTCCGGCTCTCTCTCTTTGCTGCAGAGAGAAGTGGTGTCACATGACCCAGGAGGAGCGAGACGACAGCTCCAAGATGGACGAGAACATCGCCTTCGGTCAGCTGGGGTGAGAGAGACGCCGCAGGAGACACCAACATTCTGATATTAACCAGATCATGAAAAATAGTCTGAATAAGCAAGTTCTGATGAACTTAACCAGAGTGAGATCAAACTCAGAATAAATACTCAGACTAAGACATGTGGAGGATTCTATCGTCATCATCAACATATTCTGTGAGTCACCGGGACGAACCTGGTGTTCTTGTGTTTTTAGGACATTCACTCACAACATGCTGGCGTTCGGGCTCAGTAAGAAGCTGTGTAACGACTTCCTGAAGAAACAGGCGGTCATCGGAAACCTGAACGAGGGTAAAACATTTTATCTTTAAATACTCGAGCTCTCTGCGCTTTCCTTCCACCTACAGGTTATGTTTATTCGTCACGCAGAGGAGAAAGGACTTCAGATGTTCAGAAGGATCTGGATCTATAATTAAAGTCAAGGTTTCATTAACATTATAATTTTCATCTGTTAAAGAGAGAAAGTGAAATTGTTTAATTTGCAACCTGAACAAATGGACCCGTCTTGCACTTGGAAGGAGAATTGAGAAATGTGAAGGATATTTCTATGATGTGATCACTTTTCCTTTTTTATTTATATAAATATATTTATATAAATAAAAGTGAATGAAGTGACAAAGTGAGTGAAATGTGAAAAGTATTGAAAAAGTGAATCATCACCTGAATCTGAAAACTTTGTGAGATTTGTGACACAGCAACAAGTTCCACTCAAATTGTGTTGTGTTAATCATTTTAACTGAAATTGCTCTAATTCAAAACTCTGTGTTCTCCCTGCAGAGCAGTACAAGTTGCTGAGCGACCACATAGAGAGAATGGCGGCAGAGTGAGTTTGAGGACGACGGGTCTGACACGGAAAACTTCGTCTCATCTAAATATCGTGACCAACTTTGCGTTTGTGTGGTTTCCTGCCGAGATGCAGCGTCTGTACTGAACTGTGCCGTAGTCGTAGCAAACGCTGTTCGTCCAGCTCCTCCGCATCCTGTGTCAGCAAAGACACGACATCATCAGCTGGTGCATGATTTCATCGGTATAACGTCGTCTGTGAAACCAGTGAATATAAAAAGCAGCCTCGGTGTTAGATTATACATCTACGTGCTGTTTTATCGTGTGTGTCCATGGTGAACATATTTATTACATGTTACAGAAATACTGTATGAAGTATAAAACATCGTCCTGCATCTGCACACAGTTCAAACCTGACGAGTACAATAGCACCTGGCTCATAGTGTTTTAATCGTCTGATCATAAAAGTTCACTCAACACTCTTATGATCATCTGCAGTGTGATATTATACTTCTTAGATACACACTGACAATACAGCGTTGACAAAAGTACTGCAGTATTGATAGTATCCCTTCATGCCTTCTCTTGGACTAATAGAAAGTGTTAAACGAGAAGATTTAACTCTCTCTTTGTACGCAGGCTAAAAATGAAGCTACAGCAAGCAGAGGGTTAGCTTAGCTTAGCATAGATGCTGGAAACCCCAACCAAAGGTAACATCGTGTGCTTCCTAGAACCTCTACAGCTCACTGATTTGTTCAATCTGCACCAAACGTCATGTCCCGCCTCCTGCTGCTCTACAGGCCCCACCCCCCGCCTGAATGTTCCCCACGTGTCCCTGTTGTTGTGAACGAGTTGGACGATCTTCTGTTGACGAAACACAAATACAGAACGTGTCCAGAGTTCAACGACAGCTTTACCGTTTCCCCTCTGCTTCCTGTCTTTACACTGAGCTAAGCTAAAGCTAACTGGCTGTTGGCTGTAGCTTCATCTCAGACGAACTACTTCATTCTCATATATACTTTCCCTCGGGCTAATATTTATAGTGCGGAGGTTGTAATTTTAACGTTTTGTCTTTTCGTTGGTAACTCGACATCAGTTACATCATCCGTCCAAAGTGCCTTCCAGGAAATCTTTCTCCTTTGATGCTTCCTTTGATCCCACGACTAAACACTAATGCAGGAGCCTCCAGATATTTTCACCTCTTCCACAACCGCTGCATGAAAAGAATTCACCGTATTGTTGTTGTGTGTGAACTGCATGTGCATCAATCTGTGGAAACAGAATCACAGAGAATGACTGAAGCTGTGCTGGGAGTAGTTGTGTTACCACATCCGACCACTGCGGGGCGGCAAATCACTTCTCAGTGAAAGATTCCTGAAAGTGAAATACATCATCGACTGCTGGACGAGGCTCCATCCATTCTGTAAATACTGTAAATATATATATTTTTCTGTGTGTGTTGTACAAATCAATCACGTGCTGCCGTCTGTGACGTGTCGTGAATCGTTAATTGCAGATGTAATTGTGCTTTAATTGTGTTTACGACAAATATCTCAGTGTTGTTTTGATTCTGAACTTCACACACACACACACACACAATATTTTAATCTGTGGTGTAGATGTGCAGAGTCATCGTATGGAAAGTGTCATGTAATTTTTGTATGTCAGTGTTTATTGCACACAGGCTGAAGTATTGATCTGTGTATTTGACTGTTTGCACTACATTTAGTCTCAGAATCTTCGTGCTCTCCGGATGTTACACCGTTAAATTTCATGCTGTATTTGTTCTGCACGTCCTGTTCGAAGGAAAAACGACTTTTGTTTTTTACCTTGTTGCTTTTGTGTAAAGTATCAACCAAGTGAGATGAATCATTAAAGCAGCCACTGGATTCATTCAAATCAAATCACTGTCGATGATGTCGCATGTTTTTATTCTGGATCTGTCTCAGGTGAACGCGATCATTTCAACCAGTCTGACTCTGCGGGTGAAGAATGTTGGTGTTAACCTGACATTGGCGCCAGTTTCAGGCGGCGTTCACCTCACGTTACGCTTCCGGCATATTTTTAAATTCGCCAAGAACAACCTCTGAGCTACGGCCCTCACTCTGAAAATGGTTTTTCGGTTTCAGATTTGGATATTGTGCAATCACACAATCTGAATGTGTCGTCTTTTAAAGAAAGTTGTTGATATTCCCAGCAGCCTCCTCTTCGTCATTATTATTATCGTCACCCGCCCGCTAGCTTGCTAAATCATTCACCTTGTGGTTTCTCGGCACTGACGGAAACTTCCCCACGTCGTCACCACAACCTAACGTGGAGGGAACGGAATGGTTGTGAATCATCTCGGCTCGTGTTAGACAGTTTCTGTTGTGCATGACCACGTTGTCGTTCTGTTCTTGTGGTAATAAAAAACGTATCCAGTTCATTTTTTCATGTGTTTTTTTAACCATATGTAAATAATGTAAATGTTTTGAGCTGAAGCTGCGAAGTGCCACTTTCCCCTGAGTTGTTGTTCTGCCTCTGAAAGAACATAACATAAACTAGAATGTCAGTAGAGCTCATACTTCCACCAACTGTCCCCTATTGAAACCACATTTGAGTTCACTAGATCCAGATTTGTATTGTGTGTGTGTGTGTGTGTGTGTGTGTGTTGATTGGGACCCTCCTCAGCAGGACAATGTGTTACAGTGTTTGACTTCCTGCTCTCTCTGCTCTGTGTATAAATAAACATCGGTCACGCTGGCTGCGCTCTGATTGGACACCGTGTGATGAGATGTGAGGGGCCAGTCAGCAGAGTCACACCATGAACACGCTCTGCGTCTAATTAATAACAGACACACACACGACACAGTCCAGCAACATGCAGCCACTGATCCACTCTTCTGCTGGATCCAGAAATCTGCACATCCTCCAGATGCACGATGATACAAAGGTTCCAAAAGGTCGAGGAAGTGGTCCCAGACTTTTGTTTATTTCACTGAACGTGTCTCTACACACACTTTATAACCTCCTGGAGTTAACGATGTTTAACGCTTGTTATAAACTGCAGGAACTGATTTCAACCAAACTCTTGTGTCAATCAGCCGCAGCAAAGTTCTGCAAAGTTTCTGTGGATTTGATCAGAGAACGGGAACCTGGGACCCGAGACCTGAACTCTGTGGTGGAGAGGCAGGAAAAAAAAGATCTTCAAAATGTGATGGAATTATTTTATCTTCATCGTTTTATCTTTCTTTGATTTCCTGCCTTTGGTGTTTTTCCTCATTACTAATTTATGAGGCTCGTATATTTTTATTGTTTTTATCTGTTTGTGGATCTGGATTCTTTTTAATATTTATTGTTTTTATTCTGTGAAGCACTTTGTGTGACGTGTTTATATGAAGATGAAACACAAATCAAATCTGATCGACTGATTGAGAAGGACACACACACACACACACACACTCATACTTGTGTGATATTGGTGCTGACGCAGCTGAGACACAAGGTTTACTAATGTATTTTACAGTAGACACACACACACACACACACACACACACACTGATGCTCTAACAACGTACGCACAAACACAACTATGATGAATTCACAGTCGCTCTGACAAAAACACGTTGAATTGTACAAGAGCAGCTGTGCAGCATAAATCTGAACTGGTTTGTTTTAGCTTAAGTGCTGAAATTAACTATGTGTATGTTTGCATACGTGTGTGAGGACACACAAACTCAGTTGCAACACAATTCCTGGTTTGTATAGAGTGTGTGTGTGTGTGTGTGTGTGTGTAGCTCCACTTCCTCCAGGATTAAGTGTTAAAGTCAGGGTGGTCCCAGTCTGGGGGTGGTAATCCTGCTGCCGTGTACAAGTCTTCCTGCCACACACACACACACACACACACACACACACACACACACACACACACACACACACACACACACACACACACACACACACACACACACACACNCACACACACACACACACACACACACACACACACACACACACACACACACACACACACACACACACACACACACACACACAGGCCTCATGAGACTGTGTGTATTTATTTACAGTTGGTAGAAGCGAGGCTGCAGAGATGTTGAGGAGTTTCGATGAGAGCAGCTCTTCAGCGGCCGGCCGCTCGACATGACGCCATCGTCTGCTGGGCTGGAAATGTTGTGTCTTCAGTGAACTGCGACACACTCATGTTAAAGATAAAATAAATATTTGTTTCTGTGTGTTACTCTGCTGCCATGTGTTTGTGTATTGGATATGCAGAAATAATCTGGTTGTTTGGGTCCAGCATCCAACAGGCAGAGGAGAAGAACCACAGTTTAACAGAGTTGAAGTAAATGAGCCAGTGAGTCTGCATCAAACCTGTAAATAGAAGAACTTGAAATAGAAACGTGGAACCTGAGAAACGTGTGTGATCTGATTTATGGATTAAGACATTAAATCTTTCACCTCATGGTGACTGATGTGGTTTATTGATCTCAGGCTGACTCCACCATCACTTCTGCACAGACTCGTGACGTCTAAAAGCTCAAAATGGTATTTCAGCTTCAGTTTTGCACAATGGGAGGAAGAAGAGACGCGTCGTCCATCTTTATTCTCAATCTGTTTTGATCCTTTGAAACCAAGTGACGTGTCCATACATCATCACAGCAGACTTTGATCTGTTACTTCAACCAAAGGCTGAATCTCATCAGTTTGTTTTACTTTTCTAATTTTTACCACATGAAGTAAAAACCTCTTCAGTATTTCACCATAAAATAAAAAAAAGGTGAAGGAAGCTCAGAGAAAATGAATCTGACGTGTTCTCTTTGTTTCTGTTTGTTTGATCAACATCCAACAAACAGTGACGTGTTTTCTCCTCGTCCGTTTCTTGGCCTCCTTGTAGACGTACGTGTGTTTGGGGTCACGAACCCGCCGGAGGAGCTGTGACCGGTTCTCTCACGCTTTGCGTTTCGCTCCTGAACGACTGGATCATGTTCTGATTCAGCAGCAGAGCAACTGAGCCTTCAATCTTTAGAAACGTAACTTTACCAGAAAAGCTCTAATTCAGCCCAGAACCCTCTGAAGCACTGAGGCCTGTCAACAAGCCCTGACTCTCTCCTGAAACTGGAGGTGAACATGTTTGTGTCCAGGTCGTGAGCAGCATCGGTTCTCGTCCGGAGATTATTTAAGCTACATAATGATGTGTAGAGCTCATGTGCCAGGAAACTTAACTTGATTAGCGGCTAATGTGGCCTGAGCCGAGCCCATCAATCTTCATCACGGCCCCGCGTCGCCCCGGTGCTGAGTGTATATGTAGACAAGTGAAGCCGGTTTGTGTGGAGAGTGAAAAAATATAATAAACACTGGCGGCAGGAACCCTTTTGAAGCGGCGAGCTTTAAGCCGCGTGATTTAGCGCTGAGCTGGGACTTGATTGCACATGAAACGAGGCCGATGACACTTCACAGAGTCGCAGCTACAGCGCTCTGACTCGCTCTGCAGCTCGGTGGGTAGCCACACGTGTCCCCATCGGCTCTGTCACAAGTCAAAACCTTTTAGTTGAACTTTCTTACTGGACGATGTTTTTATTTTTTATTTTGCTTGTTTTGTTTTATATCACCCATAATGCAACAGAACACCAGCCTCACTGACAACAGCTGCTCGGAGCAGGATTGAATCTTTACAATCTTGAATTTAAGAACTTTAGAAGACCACAGACGTGTCCCTGAGTCCAAATTGTCCTCACAGAGTTCCAGAGATGTCACTTTAACAATCGTGGAACTAATGGAAAACCTGAAAACCCACACGACCCTCTGCTGTGGCCTCTGCCGGCGCGGAGGGATGAAAAGCAAAGAAGGAAAAAGTGAAATTAAACCCACGTTTTTTTCTTTAAGAAGTTGAAAGAAAGAAAAGTGTGTCTGATGATGTAAACAGAAAATAAGAGTGTTTAAAAAGTAAATACATTTAGGACAGATAGGAGGGGACGCCCTGAAACCAAAGACTCTTATAAACTGTGTTCAGGAGAAACAGATGTGAATCTGAGCTGGTTTCATAATTAAAGTCAACATAATCGAGAATTAATCTGCTCCATTCATCTGTCTGTGTGAGTAGAGAGTTCAGACAAGTTCTGGGTCTGGTTCTAGTTCTGGTTCTGGGTCTGGTTCTGGTTCTGGTTCTGGTTCTGCAGGCCTCATCCCCTCAGCTCGGTTTGTTTCCTCAGACAACGAATGAAAGCGAGAGGATTTCCCTTCAGGTTGAGCAGCTTCTCATGAGGATCTGTTCCTGTTCAAACAGTCCCAGCGTCCATCAGATAACCAACATTCATTACCGCACTTTGCTTTCAGAGACTTTGGAGATCAGTGGACGGTGAAGAGCCGGCGGAGCCAATTACAAAGGGTCATGTGTTCGTCGTCCCAAAGAGAACACGAGTGCCATTTTCTTTCCTCCCTCCCTCCCTGTCATTCTTTCCCCTCTGAGGTTTTCATCATGTTGTATTTACACGTCTGACCAAAAGAATCCTATACACAGGAAATGCTTGCGATTGTGAGTTCCTCTCCTCAAATGTGGGGAGGTTTATTTATTGCAACAAACATTCCTGATTCGCACAGGCTCCGCGGCCTGTGCCGAAGCTGCAGGCCTATATTTAGACGTGGCTGCTGCGTGTTTGTGACGATGCTGTCAGGTCTCTGATCTCCTGCAGGTGTCATCAGCTCAGACGAGCTCAGTGAGGACGTCAGGTCTTTGTGCTCACGATGCATCAGTGTCGCAGACGCAGTGACGGCTCATTGTTGACCTTTGAAAGAAAAGGTCAAGATTCACTTTCAGTGAACAAACAGACCGAGCCTGCCGACAGCCGTCAGTCTGCACGACCCAGAACAGAAGAGTCTTTGTGTTTAACTCTTATTTTTATGAACAAGCAGTCGACCGTCAGCAGGATTATGTAAAAACTACTGGTTGGATTGGATTTTACTGTGAGATGGATGTGATGCAGTTTGATCGATCACGTGTTTATTATTGAATTGATTCTTATTAGAATTATTATTAATGGAAACAACAGGACTTTGTATTAGATATATATTTACACACAGATATGAGATACATCTCAATCTGATCACTAACACTTTTGTAAAATGGGGTAAAAACACGATTGGACACTGATTCTGAACGATGTCAAAACTCAGCTGTAGGTAACTTCATTACGTTCAGCTGTCAGCTGGGGAAGGAGAGAGCACATTAGTGATTTCAATCATTTTAAGAAAATAAACTGACGAACTGCTCGGACATTATTTTCCTGTCGACCCTGTTTTTACTCCAGGAATCCAAAAGACAAACTTTATGTTTATGAATCAACATGTGAAGCTGTTCGACACCACAGAGCTGATCATGAAATAACTCTTCACCAGGTTTATCAGAGTTTTGAGTTGTGTTGATTAAATTAATTATCCTGAATTGACTAATGTCAGTCTTTAACATCTTCTGACTGTGTCCGAGTCTTTCTGTTCACTCACCACGTTAATGAAACCAGTTAATGAGCTTGTTCTCCAGTAATTGATGCTGATTATTAAATGAAACGTGTTGAGAGTTAAACTTTTTAAAGTTTTTAAATAAAACTTTGTTTTCTTTTAATGCTGAGTAACTGTAGTTTTGATAATGGTGGAAACTACGTACATTTACTCAAATACTGGACTTGAGTCACATTTCATGTACCTTGCATTAATTTGAGTAACAATACTAAATATAACCAACAGATGTCTTGACGCTGATTACGATCTGTAGTTCACAATGTGACCAGTAAGACAAGTAGATCAAGTCCATTGTCCTCACTGTTGATTATTCCTGATTATCAATCAAACCGACCGGGACAAACAGTGAAACCTCAGTGATCATAATCTTTAAATCACAGAATAACTGAGGAGCAACTTCACAAATACACATTTCTCTGTTTCTTACAGCTGATGTTTTATTTAAATACCAGTCTGGAGTTTTCCAACAGTTTTCTATTCATTTCTATTTTGATTTTTAATGAATCACGTTGTCGCTTTATTACCAAACTAAACTTTATTTGCACAAGAACTTCAGAGCAGTGTGGAATGTAAAATATCTTGGATTACATCACTGAGTGTAAAACTTCATTCTCATGTTGTACAATTCGTCCAGAGTTCAAGAGACACTACAATCTGTCCTCTTTGGGTGAACACATCATTTCATCGTCATGTATGAAGTAAAAAAAAGTTCAGCTTTCCCTAAATATTCTCACGACATTGACAGGATCATTATAAACTTATCAGGCAGTATTTTGGGGGAAGGTGTGTGCAATATAACCACAGTCCTGACAATTACGCATGCGTAAAGATGAATTTAAAAGCCTTCCGGCTGCTCCCTGTCGTTGTCTGATCGTTTCTGTGGATGAAGAAGGTGGCAGAGGTCCTGAAATAAGAAGACGTGGAGGAACATGTCTCATTGGGACGAAGCAGGTAAAGCTTTAAAGACTTTACAGCTTCAGGCGTCCGTGCGTAAAATACACTGGAGTCTGGATTCATGGTGGTACTCATTTGAAATGCAGTACTTTGTCTGGGTAGGTGAGTGACAGGTAAGAGGAGAGGGGGAATCCCATCTGGTGCAAGTGATGTGGTCGAGCACCGAGGACCAGAGACGAACTGAAACCTGGGTTCTCTGCGCACGTGTCCGGGGACAAACCGAGGAGGCTGCCGCGCGTATCGCCGTCATTTTTCGATAAGATGCTGTCGATGCTAAAACCTTTCGATTTGTCCCGGCTCGCAACGTTTCCTTTCGGACTCTCCGGCGCAGGTGCAGCCAAGTTAGTGTTTCCTGCGCAGCTGACGGCGCACAGCGGACCTCTGTCTCTCTCTCTACCGCTGAACGCGAACCTCCTCTCCTCTGTCTCCCAGCGGAAGGATGCGCCGAGGAGGTGCGCGCCGTCCATCCACAAAGCAGCGTGTCTCGGAGCGGGACACGGCTCGGGCTGCGGTTCCAGCCTCCTGTCGGTGGATGAACCGGGGAGAACTCTCAGTCTGTGCAGGGGACTCTGTGGCGGCTCCGCCTGGTTAATCTCGACCAGAACAGACTTCGTGTCTGCTTGAGTCTCCATCCTCTCCGCCTCCTGCCTCGCTGGTGCCTTTGTCATCTCCGAGCCAGTGTGATGTTTCATGGAGGTCTGAGGGGCCCTGGGTGGCCCCGGGCCCTTGGTGCGCTTGTGTCCAGCGGCTCTGGAGTCCAAAGCCTCCTGGTGACTCTTCGCCTTCCTCTTCCTCCGCCGGTAGTTCCCGTTCTCAAACATATCCAGACACTTGGTGTCCAGCGTCCAGTAGCTGCCCTTGCCCGGCCGGCCCTTCTCTCTGGGCACCTTGATGAAGCAGTCGTTCAGGGACAGGTTGTGTCGGATGGAGTTCTGCCAGCCCTGCTTGTTGTCGTGATAGAACGGGAACCGGTCCATGATGAACTGGTAGATGCCGCTGAGCGTTGCGCGCTGCTCCGGTGCGCTCTTGATGGCCATGGCGATGAGCGCGATGTAGCTGTAGGGCGGCTTCTGCGGAGGCTCCTGACCGGACACGAAGCTCAGGGCGGCGGGCACGACGCCTCCACTGTCCCGCCCGTACAGGTAGATGAGCGGGGGGGCGGAGAGGCTCAGAGCCGAGGCCGGCACTCCGAGCGGCTGCAGGCGGCCGTGGTACAGAGCCATGACGCCGAGGAGGCTGGGATGTGTCCCGGGGAAAGTGGAGCCTGCTCCCGGAGCTCCTCTCCTCCACTGACTGACTCTCCGGCCTCATGAGGCCCCAGGAAAATGTTAATAATTGCGGTGCGTTTGCTGTGTTATGTTGACTTTGCACCGGGGAATAAATCGTCCATCATAAACACTGTGGTTCTCAGCCCACCCACATTAATTAAAATTTCATTGCGCTGAAACTCCCCGGTGCACCACCCCCCCTCCTCCTCCTCCGCCCAGCAGCCAATCAGGTGGCGTGTTCTGCCCTCGTGTGTTTATAGAATTAGTCGCTTGATAAGTTCGCCCACCCACAGAGAATCAAGCTGTGTTTATTTGGAAAAATTTCCGGGCACCCAATACATAAACTCACTGATGTGCTGTTTGAAATATCACGTCCACCCCTGACGCGGAGAGTCGCTCACACAGAGAGAACAAGCAAACACTGAGAGGGGCATGCTGGGAGTCTCTGCAGAGTCAAAACAAAAGTGTAGAAAAGAGAAAGAAGAAGAAGAAGAAGAGGAGGAGGAGGAGGAGGAGGAGGAGGAGGAAGAGGAGACTTCATCCGGTCAGAGTGGAACACATCAGAGGAGCAACAGACAAACAAACATCAAACACTTTGTCCCAAAAACCTGAGGAGAACAGATGATGATGATGATGATGATGATGATGATGATGATAATAATAATGATAATAACAGTAACAATCATCTCCACATTAATTGTATTATATCGACCTATCACAGGCCTACAGCTATAAACTCATCTGTTATATTATATTTTATGAAATGTTTCTTTACAAAAGCTTTTAAAATGTCATTTATTTTTCATATTTAATTTATCCACAGATTCAGCAACAGAATCACAAAGAACCCCCGATTACATAACATTACTATCAGTCATTACAACAGAATTAAATAGCAATCTAACTATCTACTTATCTATCTATCTATCTATCTAACTATCTACTTATCTAACTATCTATCTATCTATCTAACTATCTACTTATCAATCCGTCTGTTTGTCCAGTGCATTCATTGACTATATGATGTGAATTTCTGACATAGTGACATGGAGATATCTTGTCGACCTTTGACCCCTTGGCTCATCATCACCACCATCACCATCATCACCATCATCATCACCATCACCACCATCACCATCATCATCACCATCACCACCATCATCACCATCATCATCACCATCATCATCACCATCACCAGGCTTAAATTCCAGATATTCACCGTTTCGAGCTGCTTGTCTCTTTCCATCCCTGCCCGTCACGGATGGGTCGACCTGTTTCACTATCTGTGGCTCTGAATCGCTCGCTTCAGGCCTGGGTGGTCGTCGCCTGAATCAACATGTTTGATGAAATGTTTCCCAAATAAATTCCTGACGATTCACGCTTGATTTTCTGCAAACACACGGATACATCACATGTTAATCTGATCTCAGAAACCCTCGTGTGACATGACAGTGTTTTATGTTCCTGTGAGACGCTGCAGGACTGCGCTGCCTTACAAGGACAAACACGAATCCTGTGTTATTTGTGTGTGTGAGCATGATGCTTTATATTATGTATTTTCCTGTTTATAGGTCAATGGAGGATTATAACAACTTTACAAGTGCACACAGCTGGCTCCTGCTTACATTAGGGGTTTGGAGCTTTCAGTGGATAAACTCAGAAGTCGCTTTTTTCCCTGTTTCTCTCTCAGCAGACGGTGATTCATTAACAAATAAACTAAACTAACATGCAAGAGACGTGGACGAGTCACAGCGAGCAGCTTTTGACTTTTCTCACTGGAAAATTCTTTCCTTCCAAGTCCTTAAGCCTCATCTTTAATGAAGCCTAATAACTTCATCCCACTGACGGTGCTTTAAGTTACAAACTCCATGATGTAAATCAACATCTGATATTATTTGACGCAAAAAATTATTTTCTCTCACTGAAAATACCACAAGTTTTGAAAATGCCAATATTTAACTTTTACAAAGTTTGACATGAGATCAGAAGTTGTTTTTATTCAGTGGATCTTTGTAAAAGTTTCCACCTCAAATTAAGTTTGTTGCTTTCAAACCACAGACGATAAATAAAGACGGACGACGCTTCTCCACTTCCTCCCACTTACGAAGCCAGAATATCTCTGAGACTAACGCTGCCATCTTCAGCCGATCACGTCACTTGGAGTCTGAGCTGTCAATCATGACCGTGTCTATATCCTCACATATCTCATGAAAACGAAACTGACCAGAAACACTTGAACAAACATCAGTGAGATAAGAACGACCTGAAATGACAGAAACCATCTGCTAACATGGAGGAGGAAGGGTCCATGAGCTATACTGCAGTCAGACACCAGGGGGCGATCAAGGGGATTTGACCTCACTTTCGCAGCTGTTATCTTTGTTTACAGTTTATGCTCCAAACTCAGCAGGTAAAATAAGATTTCTTCTCAAACGTGTGGAAACTGAGAATCATCATCTCGTGTCAGAATCTCCCTCACTGAGAAAAATCATCAAATAACTCTGACCTTCAGAATAAAAGCAGCAGCAGCTCCATGTTAGTGACGTGAAATGTTGAGATTTTAACCTGGAGTCAAATTTAATTACAATTCACTGTAAACGTTTCTAATCTCCTTTCATACGTGTGTGTGTGTGAGTGTGTGTGGTCTCTCAGTGACGCCTTGTGGACACGCAGCACATTTCTCTCAGTGTGACTGTGATGACTTCAATGAATTTCCTGCAACAGAAAACATCCCATAATTAACAGGAGATTTAAATATTTTTTAAGTCTCATAGTTTATTTAAAACAAAGAAGTAAGTCAAGTAAAAAAGTAGATTTTTTTTCTCAGTGCTTTAAACACAACATATAAAAACAAACTCAGCTTTAAAGAACAAATGGAAGAAGAACGTGAGTTGTCTCTGAACGAGTGGAAGCTACAGTGACGTGACCTTGGTGCGGTCAGAGGTCGCGGACTCGTTGAGCGGATTCTCTCTCGTCTTTGGAACCAGATACTTCACCGCCCAGTGCAGCAGAGACTCACTGACTGTGAGTCCACTGAAGTCCTGCAGATTCTGTCCCGACACTTGATAAGAGTAAGAGAACTGTCCGCCGCTGCTGTGAACTGTGGGAGTTTTCCTCCAGACGCTTCCTGCACTTTGACCCTTTGTGTGAGCGCCGCTCTCTTCAGCCCAGAGGCTGGCCTGTGTGTCAAAGAGCCAAGATGGAGGGTTCCCGCTCCCCTGAGCGTCCCCCCTCTGCTCCTCCACTGCAGCTTCTGGTGCCACCTCACATCTCCGTCTCTTCCCGTACTGTCCATCATCAGGTGTGTCCTTCACCCAAATCTCACCTTCTCCGTCCTCGGCGAGGTGATTTTGTTGAGCTGTGCGGGTGCAGCGCTCGTCTGCGGCGGGCAACGCGTCCGCTGGTCTGGAGACCGGTTCTGGTGGACTCACAGGAGATGACGATGACGTCTCAGGGAGGCTGGTCGAACATGGCGGTTGCTGGTATGGTGGGAAGTAGCTGTGTTCTCCCTTGCTGTGCCCTGTTGTCTCCTGGCCGGGGACAGGAAGTTGCGTGCTGGTCAACATGGCAGCGTGGTCGGGCTCTGATTCAGTGGCGGTGGGCGTGTGCTGAGTGCTTGCTGGCGTTGCTTCTGGGGACTCATCAGAGAATGAGGATGTGCACGGTGGAGGATAAATGTCCCACGGGTTGGTTAAAAAGGTGATGTGGCTGTCAATCACGTGTGTGGTTACGTCCTCTTGATCCACAGGGGGAGGGGAGACCTCGTTGGCGTTTGTCTCTCCCGCTGCTGGCGTGGAACTCGTCGACCCTGCATCCTCACTGGGAGGCTGCGTGGTCTCTGGGGGGGGTGGCGGTGGATCTGTCTCTGTGTCCTCAGGAGCAGCGGAGAGCTCAGTCCTGCTGCTGACATCAGGTGGCGTGTGCAGCCGCAGAGCCTCCTCCTCTGGGAGGAGCAGAGACTTCACAGGGACGATGAAACGCTTCACTGCTTTGTATCTCACCCTGTCCACGTCCCAGCTGGTGGCGGTGAAGGAGCCCGGGTGGGTGGGCAGCGGGGTGTCAGCGGAAGTGGAGGGCTGCGGGCTGCTCGCTGCCAGCAGCCTCTCCCGAACATCATCCAGCACCGTCTGCACACAGTCGTGCTGCCACTCCCCCAGCAGCTCCGACAGGTCGAACCCGCCCTGGCTCCTCTGAGAGTCCAGCAGCTCCGGGCCCTGCAGCGCCCTCCACGTCTGGCAGATCTTCTGCCGGACGGAGGGCAGGGAGGTGCAGCACGGGGTGTTGTCTCTGACCGGACCCGCTGCAGTGGTGGCCAGCTCCCCCACCGACAGGAAGAACCTGCACCGGACCTGCTGGGGGGCCACGTGAAACTGGAGCCGGTAGTCCCGGATGCACACGGTGGTGTTGACCAGGCTGGTGACGCACTCGCGGTCCTCCTGCTCCTGGAGATGCTCCCAGGCGGAGGCGGTGAGGACGGCGGGGAGCTGCAGCGCCCCGTCGGACAGGAAGAGGAGCCCGGTGAGTCCCTCGGAGCTCAGAGCCTGGGACTGAGACATCTGACCCACCCCGATCACATGAGCCTTCAGCCGGCCGCCGTCGCTGCTCCCCTCCCGGCTGCCATAACCCAGGATCAGGGTCTCTATCCACGGAGTCAGCTGGTTCCGAGCAGCGCGAGGCATGTTTGGATCTGCACACTGTGCGTCGTCTGTTAGGGTCCGTCAGGAAAACTTCGACGGACGCTCAAAGGTTCCCACGTCACAACATTTCCGCTGGAGACAGAAAAACACATCACGTTATAATTTTATATTATTGTTGTTGTTGTTATTATTATTATATATGATTATATTACTTTATTGGTTAACGAGATGTATTTTGGTTCTATCGTTGGAAGATGCGCAAAAAATAAGTAAATAAGTCTTAATTTAGCTAGCATAGCATGTTAGCACAACAATGGCACAGCATTATACCTGATTCACAGACGCAGTTGCGCTCTGACCTTTGCGTAATCCTGCGTAAAGTGTCTGAATATTTACGTTAGTTTCAGAATTCAACGGCGAGATAACAACGGTAGAAGGAAGTAACTCCTTCAAAGTAAAAGCACAGAGCTCTTTTTTTTTACATCATGAAAAGAAGATTTACTAATCCGTCCCCACATGATGATGTCATAGAGATAAATTAACTATAATAAATACGAAATCACTAAAATACACAACAACAGCACTTTAGTGGGTCGAGAGGGTGTTGCTCAAACCGGAAACAGCTGTTTAGCGGAATTCTCATCTTCTTGATGCAGCTCGTAGTTTTTTAATAAACTTTATTTACAAGCAAAGACTGACAGAACACACATTTCAAATAAGGACACAAAAAGATCATAATCATAAATAAATAGATCAAGAAATAAAGTGTAAGATTAAAAGTGTGTTTGTTTGTTTCCTTATTCATTTTTTACATTTATACCTTTATTCTGCTGTCAGACTCTGCAGCATCATCCGAAATGAAAAATAAAATACTTCACACTACTTTTACTATCTGAACTGTATATTTGCACTTTACTATATTTATGTACAAACTGATCTTCTTCTTGCTCATACGTCAGCCTGCGCCACTGCACTTTATTTCATAACATTTATAAACAAACCACTAAAGTGAAACCTGTATGTAATGTTCGTAATGTATTTTTTATTTAATATCATTCTTATTCTATTGCCTTTTTTTAAAAAATCCTCTAGCCCACCTCATCCTGACTTGCCTGCTGCTGTAACAACTGCATTTCCCCGGTGTGTGTCAATAAAGGTTTATCTCATCTTATCTTATCTTATCTTATTTATACTTGTGTCAGTTTTTGTCCCTTTATGGAACATGAACAGAAAACAAAAGCACAAAATGAATCCACAGAAGAAATAAGGTTCTCACATCTGGTCAGGACATAAAGTTCCATGACGTCATAAACAAACAGGGCATTTTTCATTGGTTCATATTTTTGCCACATCATGTTATCGCTATCATTGGTGCTATATTTAAAACATCTGTATCTGTGACGTGTTTCTTTGTGCCAGTGAGGGAGAGTCTGTTTTTTCTGATACTTTCTCCGGTTCCGCCTCAGTCCAGGAGGGGGCGGCGGTGCGTCTCCGAGCCGGTTCGCCAGTAAACAGCGGTGCGCGGTGAAGAAGAAGCCGCTCCTCCTCAGGTGCTCCTCGGTTCTTCTGCACAGATTCAAACTTCACCTGCGAACAACAACCAGAGCGGAACTGCTCCGTCCTCAGGTGAGAAACCGGAACTGGTCTCAGCCGAAAAACACGATGACACAACTTTCAAACTCAAACTGCAAAACAACAACACCAGAGTGCGTTCGTGTGTTTCTGTGATTCAGCCGAACACGCAGCGTTAGCTCAACTTGGCCTCACGCTAACTCACCAAACTCTGACCAGCTGCTAAGCTAACTGTGCCAACGACGCTGCAGAAGAGGTGCTCTGTGTCCAGGTGTTATGCTAACTAGCCTAGCCTCCACGCACCGAACCTCGTTTGGAAATCTGCCAGTTGTAGGATTCTGTTGATCGTCCAGGTGAGTCACTGGGCTCAGGGTCGGAGCTCGGGCGTGTCAGTCTGAGGGTGTGGACTCTTCGGGGCCTGGTTCCTGTGAAGGTGTGGTTTCCATCGGATTGTCACGGAGTCCGCAGGAGTTGAACATGTGACCTGCTGCTGTTTCTGGAAGACTCATCCTGGAAGCTTCTTCAGCTCTAGCTCTCCAGGTTTATTTGTCACGTGAGCACAGGGTCACCAGAGCTAAGATGAGAAGAACGTGCAGTGGTTAAAATTAAAAACAAAGGTAGAAGGAGTTCAGTCAAATGTAAAACCTAAGTAAAACCAGATGCCTCTCCTTCAATCTGGATCAATGAGTAATGGGAGGTTTCAGGTATTAGACCTGTACCCATGTTGAGAGTCGTCATGTTCGAGTCCCACCGGTTTGTGGGTTGTTGTCGTTACTGAGTCAAAGTGTGAATGGCTGTTTGATACCGGTTCAACACAAAGACTCTGTTTACTCACTTACCTCCAGCAAGACTCAGCCGTCAGACAGGGGTGAGAACATAACCCCCTCAGCAGAGGTAATGAAGTTAGGCTTCATGTCTCACTTTATTTTATTCACACTGCAATAATCATTATTAGTTTTTATCTATAACTTCATCTCAATGGTGGAATATACTGCGTGTAACGTGTACATATATATATGTACATTGTTTATCCACTGACCAGGAGCAGTATCATCATTTCATTGTATTTTGTACTTTTTCTATCCATCTGTTTCTATTCTCTGTTTTCTGTAAACAGGAGTGAACAGAACCACTCCGGCTGACATGCCCGACTCGAGCGAGCCCGGATCGAGGGTTTCAGACCCGCAGCATTCACAGAAGCTGCTCCGAGTCCTTCGCACCTTCTGGCAGGAGAAGAGTTTCCACGATGCTCTGCTGGTGGTGGATGGAGAGGAGCTTCCTGTCCAGAAAAACATCCTGGCTGCTGCTAGTCCCTATATCAGGTCAGAATCTGTGTTGGCACCAGGTCCAGTCACCGACCGGATATGTTCAGAGCATTTGTCGTCTTTGTCCAAAATGTTAAAGCAGCATCGTGGGTGTGTCCACGATAAGAGCTTTCAGCTTTTTCCATTTTTTTAAAATAACATGTTCTGTCATTGTGTGTTGATTATTTCCTGTTAGGACCAAACTGAACTACAACCCCCCAAAGGAAGATGGGTCTACGTACAGAATCGAGCTGCAGGGAGTCTCCATGGCAACCATGAAACAGATCCTCGACTACATCTTCAGTGGTGAAGTGAGTGTGGAGTTTTTAAAAAAACTAAAGGTGACGTGTTTTAGGTGTCGTACGAATTGTTTCCTGCCCATCCTCACCCTGTGTGTGTGTGTGTGTGTGTGTGTGTCGTACACCCACAGATCACTCTGAGTGAAGAGACCATCCAGGACATGGTGCAGGCGTCCGACCTGCTCCTCATGACCGACCTCAAGTCGCTGTGCTGTCAGTTCTTAGAGAGCTGCATCACCGCCGAGAACTGCATCGGCATCCGACTCTTCTCTCTGCACTACTGCCTCTACCACGTCCACTACGCCGCCACCGAGTTCCTGCAGACGCATTTCCGTGATGTGGTGCTCACCGAGGAGTTCAGGGAGCTGCCCCGGGACCGGCTCGGCGAGGTGCTCGCCATGGAAAAGCTGAACGTGGGCAACGAAAAGCACGTGCTGGAGGCTGTGGTGCGGTGGTTCGCACATGACCCAGAGGATCGCAGGGTGAGTTACGGGAGTACAGTTCAGGTGCAGGGATGCAGTGAGATGTAGGGAGAGACGGTGAAAAATGCAGACGGGTGAGTTTTGCTGATTAGAAATACTGAAGGACTGAAACCAAACTCTAAATGGGAATATTTTTCAACATCAAAATTTGCTTTCATAAAAAACAGACATTGCTGGACGATCTCATCAGAGCAGTCAGTCAAATCACAGCTAAGTTAGTTTAAACACTGAGTGACGTTGATGTTGAGTTAATTAAAGATACAACAGGTCGTGGTCATTAGAGTTTTGTTAACTAAAAGGTTTGTTCGTTAGTTGTCTCATCGTCATATGTTTTTTGTAAACTGTGTATGACGCTGCAGATTTGGCTGATTAAAATCAGACCTTCACATTTATGTGGATTTGAAGTTCACGCTGATGAAGAAGACGACTCAAAACAAACAGAGAATCTAATAATGGAGTTTTGTATCTCAGGGTAGAATGATGACTGTTTGAGTTCAGGTCTGTTTGATCCATAAAACCCAAAGTGATTCAGATTTTATTTCTTTGTAGGTTCACATGAAGGAAGTGATGTCTTCAGTTTGGCTGCAGGCTCTGGACCAGAGCTACCTGAGAGAGCAGGTACAGTGAGCTGCACATTTGAAGCAACAGCATGTAACCTTCACTGAGCAACAGCGCCCCCTGCAGCCACCTGTGATTAACTCTGTTGGTTCTGTGTGAAGAGGTGGAACGTGCTTCGTAATGCTATCAACAGTATCACAAAGTGTCTCACATTAACTTACCTCCGCGTGTTGCATGGTATCCCATCAGGCCTTGGGGGAGCCTCTGATGAGGGAGGTGATCAGAGAGCACTGTCAGGCCGTGCTGGGGGACGTTCAGCCGCAGGGTGAGGCTATACTCGCCGCCTTCAAACCCAGAGGTTACTCCGAGTGTATCGTCCTCGCCGGAGGAGAGGATCGCAAGTGAGTTCATCTGTTTATATCGTTTATATTTCTGTTCTGATTCATTATAATTATTATTATTATCATAACCTCTTAAGTTTAGCAGTGAAATTTATTGTCCATAAAAACTTCCCCATGAGAACTAAGTATTGTTTATTATTTACAGATTATATTCTCAGAATGATCATTAGGAACAGTTTTAATGCAGAGTGATCTTTGATTTTCGTGTGAATCACTGTCAGAGAAAAGGATTTTACTTTGAAATGTCACAAACTGGTGCTGCAGTCCTCCTCATCGACATCCTGTTCGCACTGATGGTTTTCGTCCCGAACAGAAGCAGGAAGCCGACCGCCACGACGCGCTGCATGTGTCCGCTCTACGACAGCAACAGACAGGCCTGGATCGAGCTGCAGGCCATGAGCGTCGCCCGCCTCGGCCACGGGGTGGTTACTGCCGGTCAGAAAACTCACCTCCCGTCCTGAATCAGGTAGAACTAAGATACTTCCTGTTTAGCGGTCGGTGATGATGATGATGTTTTTCGTCCGTCAGAGGGATTTCTGTTCGTGATGGGCGGAACAGATGAGCACAACACAGTCCTGGACTCTGGAGAGAAGTACGACCCTGACTCCAACACCTGGAGCCCCATACCCCCGATGCTTCAGGTATCTTCACCTCTTTCTGTTACCAAACATTATTATTTACTGATAGATGAAGATTTTTAAAACTTGGCAATACTGTATTTCTATCACTTGTTTTCTTACATATTAAATATTTGATGTTTACTCATTTCTTCTTTTAGAAATTAAAATGTGCTGCTGTTAATTAGCAGCTCATCACAAGAAACACTTTGCTGCAGCCATGTTACAGTTTGAGCTTTTTACATCTCATTCAAACACCACTAGGTGTCAGTATTGATGCAATGGCAGTTTCATGTGGAAGATTTGAGTCACTGCTCACTCTGTAGTGCTCTCAGTGTTACCCATAATGCATCATGAAAGATACTGGACATCCAATGGTCACTAACTGAGTGACATCTCCCATCATGCATGTAAAGATGACCATCCAGTATGTTTTTTAAGTATTAGTATTAAGTGTAAAATATTTTTTGTTAATTGGTTTTGGGACTTTCCACCGGCTGTGGTAATCCTGTGACAATGACATTATTACCCACGCAGAGAAAATGTGCAGAGAAGTAAATAGAACTGTGGTGTAATTCACCAGGTATTAAAATGAGTCTCCACCGACCACATGAGATCAAATCTTACGCACACGCTCTCTTTGCTATTTGCAAAAAGACGTCCTTGAATTTTTCTCTGAGAAAATAAAACATCTCACAAAGTTGAAGAAGGTAAAAAAAAATAATAATCTGCACCACAACATAATGAGTTCTATCCTGACCCAGACCACATCCTGCCATTACGTTTATTTGACCTTTGTTGAAATGATGATGAAGAACATTGTCAGCATCCGCCACACTGAGCAGAGATGTTGACGTCGTAAACAGACCTCGTCTATTTCAGGATGTGAATCTTCCCATGAGGTTTTAATTCTACGCAGCGAGACACCATCGACACGTGGAAACGATTGTTGGATGGTTTTTCTTTAAATCTTTTTATGTCATAAACATGCCAAGAAGAAAATATGACCGTCCGTATAAAGCGTCACATTTGTTGAGTCGTGCGAGACGTTCATGAGAGCGAGATGATTCCGTCATGAGAGTGAGGGTCAGGAGAATCTAAAGTTTGACAAGGCAACAACCAGAGAGTCGTCTACTTCATACAACGATCCTACAGGCGAAAAGAAAAACTGGTGATCGTCGACAAAAATGTGACAAATTCAGGAAAGTTATTATTTGAACATGTGGGACGTGGCTATAGTCTGATCGTCATGTCACTGACCTGTGCAGGCTCGTCAGAACTTTGGCGTGGTGGAGCTGGACGGCCTGATCTACGTCCTGGGAGGAGAGAACAAGGAAACGGAGCTGATCACCGTCGAAGCGTTTGACCCTCACTTCAATACGTGGAAGTTGCAGACCAGCATGACCATGATCCGCAAGGTGAAGCACACACTCGTGTCATTCGTCGTGAACACTTTAAAGTGTGAAATCAAAAGTATGAACCTCAGGCCACACACTGTGACATCGGTCTGTCTCCCCCTGCAGGTCGGCTGCTACGCCTCCATGAATAAGAAAATCTACGCCATGGGAGGGGGCTCCTACGGGAAGCTGTTTGACTCTGTCGAATCTTTTGACCCCAAAACTCAGCAGTGGACCGGCCTCTGTCCTCTGAAAGAGAGGAGGTAAACACAGCCAGTGATCGTTATGAGCAGCACGACAAAGAGGAGCCGTGATTTCATCAGTCGATATCAGTGAAGATGTAGTTTCAAACTGCTTGACTGATCTCTCCGCCTCTCTGTACGCGTTTCTCTTTTGTTGTGACTTCCCACAAATGACACCACAGTCAGACCGACACGTCAGGGTGTTGCTCAGGATGATGAAGTTGCTCAAACGGAAGTTGTTGAGTCACACTGTGAATGATTGTGAGTCATGGACTGTGTTTACATGCACACTAGCATCCTGGATGTTATCAGGGCTTTGAACTCTCCTGCCTTTGTGTTCAAGCAGCTAAACGTTACGTTTCAGTCTCCAGGACGAGCCCCCGTCCCGGCTTTGAGAAGCTGGATCTCCTAATTTGCAGCAACATGTCTGTGAACTTTACCATGATGAGCTGATCCCACCATTCACAGATATCTGCATCCACTGGTTCTCACAAGCCTGTTCAATTCTTTGATATTGTCCCGTCAGGTTTGGTTCGGTGGCGTGTGGCGTCGGACAGGAGCTCTACGTGTTTGGCGGCGTGAGAAGCCAAGAGCCTGACAACCCCGAGCAGAGGCAGATGACGACCTGCAAATCTGAGTTCTACCACGACGACATGAGAAGGTTTGAGTTTGAGTTTCTCTGCATCGTCGACATGTTGAGGGTCAGAGCTCGTTCTGGACCTCGGACACTTCAGTGAAGTGACTCAAGATCCATCAAGGAGATGTGTTGGAGCTCTTGACACGATGACACGGTTTCTTAAAGTTGTAGCACAAAATAGTGAGCAGACCAAGAATATCTGTTTTCACAGGAAACTGATATAAATACAGTGAAGTTATGTTTTACACGAACGTCCTGACACCTCATGAGAGTTAGAGTGTCGTTCATATGATTCAAAGTCTGGATTCATCTGATCTGTGTTGTTGTGACTGATGCAGGTGGATGTTACTCGACGACCAAAGTCTGTGCATCCAGACCAGCTCGTCCTTCGTCTACGGGGCCGTGCCCATCGGTGCAAGCGTCTATGTGGTGGGAGACCTGGACACTGGTGAGTTAACCACCAGCGTGAATCAGCAGCGCTCTGTCACAGCAACCTCTGAATGTCTGTCTGTGTTTTTTTCCTGCGTCCTCAGGCACAAACTTCGACTACATCCGCGAGTTCCGCCGCAGCACCGGGACGTGGCATCGCACCAAGCCCATGTTAGCCAGCGACCTCTCCAAGACGGCCTGCGCCGCCCTACGCATCGCCAACTGTCGACTGTTCCGCCTTCAGCTGAGCCAGGGCATGTTCCGCATCAGAGTCTGATGTGAGGACGCCGGCTCGCGACCCTGCGTCGTCTCCACGCTCCTCCACTTTTGCACACCGGTACTTTCTCTCTGTTGTAGGAACATAAAGTCTTTAATCGCTACACGCTGACGGTCGGGGGGTTAAACGTGAGACCCGTTTCCTTTATGACTCGAAAGGGCAAAAGTTCATCTTTTTAACATTATAGGTTTTGGTGCAATTTTATTTACCTGAATTTTTTTTTTTCTTTTTAACGTGGAATTTGAATTTTTTAAAAAAAATCTTTATTTGAATGTATTTTCGTCGTTTTTAATGTTTACAGGTGATCGGTTGGTCGAGGGTTTTTAAACTGAGAACTACACTTGATAAATTATGTGCTGCGTTCTGGAGCAGACGTCATGTCCGGATCTGTTGTGCAGTTCAGTGGTGGACGTATACGATCCGGACTTTTATAAAGCTTCCACTCGGCAGCCTGCGCTCGCACTTACCCCTCCTGTGCTTCGATTCCCTTTGCTCCAGCTTCAGTTCTTCTACTCACGCTCATGTTGCTTCTGTGCACATGTGGAACATCTGCTCTGATTCTTTCGGTGCAGCTCACAAACCAGTGGGTGACGTCGCAGTGGGATGAAACTGTGGCTTCATTTACACGACTACATGTGTGTTTTAAAACACGTCCAGTCTGCTGCAGATACGTCCACACGTCTGGTTAGAAAAACGTCCGTCTGGATGAACGGAAGATGAAGCAGACGTTCACAACCTCTTGTGATTGGGTCTGTTTGCTCGTGTGGCCTCCACTGATCCAAGTGTTGCTGACCCGGTCGTCTTAGCGAACAGCTGCGGATCAGTTCAGTTCTGTATTTGACAATGAAACCACTTGTTACACGTGGAGGAGACCAGATGTTGTTCCAGTAATCTGATTGCACCGGCAGAACATAGTCGTCTGGATGTAGCTTCGGTCGTCACCTGCACGTGACGCTGTCGCTCATCTGTCAAAGTGACGTCGGGACGAAGAAGATGACCACTTTGTTTTTCATGGTAACAAGAACGATGTCTGGAAAACATCTTGTGATCCTCAGGGGGTCTCAAGTCCTTATTAGGAACCTCCCCTCTTCTCTCTCTCCCCCCTCCCCTTCTCTCT